CAAAGAACGTATTCAGACGTTTTAACGTCTATTTCACAAAACCTAGAGATTTTGATCTGAGACTCTGATTGATATAATATCTTACTCTGCTCACAACTTTGTGAGAATTTGAAGAGTTTTTAAAGAATCTGTGTGAGACTATCTTGATTATCAAGCTATCTTATGTTCAAGCATCAATTTCGCAAAAGCGATCGTTATTGTTCCCTGAAACTTCGATTTTATTGAGATGGTATCATAACATGTTCGCTGTACATTGAAATGGAATCACAGCAATAAAAATGTCCGCTATATACAATGTTAAGAGGCTGTTTAAGATTGCCTTGAATAGGCATTCACAGTGAATATATTTAGATATTTAACATCTATTTCACAGAAACAAGAAATATTGATTTCTGACGCTCTAATTTTGTTGAGATGGTATCTTAACTTGCTCGATAAGCACTTGAATTTTACATTTCCTTTAGTGATACCTAATTTTTTCTGGTCAACATAATGGGTTAGGTTCAACTAATTGAAGTTATTTGTATTTAAAGGTGCTGGTCGGAAATAAATTATTCAAAACATTGTTTTTAATCGACGAATTAAATTAGAATTATTTGTTACAATTCTATAACTTATACAGTAGATTTTTTAGATGTGCTAGTATGTCACAGCGATATCTTTAGTGACCTTACAGTGGCGTATACAAAAAACTTGCTTAAGTGAAGTTTTAAAAATTAATTCTTATAATTAATTAAATTAATTAATTAAATTTCAAATGACAGTTTTTAATTAACAAAATATATTGCATCTAGTGCAATCCGATATACTAAAGGATGATTTAAACCCCAAATTGTATACGACACTATTTATAACAATAGAAATAATCAATAATAAAAATATATTAAGTTTTTTAAGAAAAAAATTTGACTTTATGAGTGAATACTTCAGAAAAAATTTAAAATAAAGAACATTACAATTTTAAAAGCATATCCTCTCGTTTCCCTATCGGTTACCATCATTTGAATGGTTTTCTACAGCATTCTTAAAACAAAATAAAGTAGTTTTTATTAAAGTGTAAATAAATCATTTTACTTTCAAAATAAAAGAAAAATTATTTATCTTTGAAGTTTTCCTATGGGTTTCTATTACAAAATGTAGTTTCATTCTTAAAATATTAAATTTCAATTTACACTTCTTTTATTATTACAATTCAATAAAGAAAACTACTACCTTTGAATTTCATTTTTTTGCATTTATGTGGATGAATTTCAGACAAATCCGACCATGGAAACTCTATTTGAGAAATAAATTAGAACTTTACTCCTTGTCTGAATAGAAAAAAAAATTCTTATAAATTCAATTTATTCCTTTAGCAACTTTAGTAAGAACGGTATTTTATTTTATGTTTCTACTGTCTAAAATATATTCATATACCAGTAATGATTTACATATACCTTTTTTATTATTTTGTATATTCAATCAACGTTAAATCTATATCACAGAATATGTTTTTCGACACATTTATTATTTACTTATTGCAAAATGGGCAAGAAAGCACTGGGTTGTGATTGTTTCCGTCTTAATGCTTCATAAATTGTGTTTATATCCGGAATATTCGTTTTCGATTTTAGCAATTATTTGGACATTTAAACTAAAATAAAGTATGGTTTTGGCTTATCACATCTATTAACGATGGATTAGAAATCTGTAGTATGTTCTCAACTCATGTAACTTAGTATGTATGTAGCAAAGAATATTAAGTTTTCCTTCATGCTTAAGTATTTAATTATTTCTTAGTTTTTATATTATACATTAAGACTGAAAAGTTTTCGGAAATTCTCATTTAAAATTCGCGCGCTGTATATTTTTCGATATTTTAAGTTTATGTAGTTTGGCAGCACTGTCCTTAATTACTATGCCAAAAATGAGCTCGATCTGTCAGACAGTTCGTTTACGGCAGCTGTTGAAACCAGTTCACCTCAGTAGTGCGTTGCGAAATGTCTTCGACGGTCGTACGACCGTCCTGGAAGGCTTTGTACCACTCATAAACTTGAGTTTTCGATAAAACTGATTCCCCATAAGCCTTTTGTAGCATTCGCAACGATTCTGCACACGAAATTTCGTTCGAAACACAAAATTTGATGCAAACTCTTTGTTCAATATTTTTTTCCATTGTTTTTTTCGCAACGCCCTACTGAGGTGAACTGGTTTCAACAGCTGCCGTAAACGAACTGTCTGACAGATCGCGCTCATTTTTGGCATAGTAATTAAGGACAGTGCTGCCAAACTACATAAACTTAAAATATCGAAAATATACAGCGCGCGAATTTTAAATGAGAATTTCCGAAACTTTTCGGTCACAATGTATATATATTATACTATTATTATTAAAAGAAGGAATCGTGCACTGCGATCTAAAAGATCTATTGTGCCCCTTAGTCGGAGTAGAGTTTTTCTCAAAGTCCGATTTCTTTAATGAAAGTCAGTATAGAGCCTATCTTTCCTAGTCTTGAATCCTTATGATCCCTGAAATACCCCCCTATGTATTTCTTCCGCTTGTGCATTAGTGCCGGGCACATGGTATGTAGTTTTTCTCTTTTCTCTACAGTATCTGCAGTCTGAATTGAATTGAATTGCTAACTTCGATAGGTGATTATTCAATCTATAAGGATCGGTCAATAATCCCGTAATAGTTCTTAGGTTATTTTTTGATTGCGCTATGCAATCTTTGAAGCGTTTTAGGTTGTAAGTCCCTAAAAGCATTTTAGAATGTAAAAGGCTTAGTAACCTTTCTCAATAGAGTTCTCAAATGTATATGATATGTATATATGTACATAGCAATGTTTATCTAATTATGTGCAACACCGAAGTGTTTCCAATGAAACTGCAAAGCTATATCATTTTTTCCAGTGCATAAAATGATATAAACAATATATAGTAACTACAACGCAATATCACTTTAAATGTAACATATAGTTACAGTTGATATAGTTGATAGTTTTCCAACATAGATGGTAGAGGAATTATCATATGAGAGAATTTGTAGCATATGCAAAACAACATTCAGACAAATTTTTAAAAAATTTCGAAAATATGTGGAAAATTTTCAAAGTATCTTCATTTATTTTATTACAAATTTGCACTCGCTGAAGAACAAAGTAATAACATATGCACTCTAAATCCCTAAGGACATAGAGTAATTAAGAAGACTGGTATGATATATAACTTTACTATAATAAGAGAATGAATAAATGTATCAAATTTATGTTATCTATCGTATTCTAAAATATTTATATTTTAAGGATGTAATGATAAATAGAAGAATAAAATGATTATATAGAGGGTCGCTTCGTTCACAATGAAATAAACTCAAAACAGAATTCCTTGTATGATGTACCACATGGGTATTACACATAGGTATGCATTTTAAAGATTGTACTTTAATAAAAACTACAATAAAATTATTGTTGCGTTAAGGAATTTTAAAAAATTCAAAAATGTTGAATATACACAATAAATTTTTTTACTCCACATGACTACTGAAGTTATTATGTACCTATACTCGCATACGTGAAAGGTGTTAATATCCAAGGTTTCTAGTTATGATATATATATCCAACATTTATGCATTTTGATTTTATACAATAATAATTGAAAAATCTCATGCTGTGCGTAAAATAAATATTTTTACTGGTTAAATTACTTTTTCATTCAAGTTTGCGGCAGGAAGGTTCTTAACGGAAATTGGTGGTGGTTGCAGTTGTAGAAGATTTGTGTTAACTTGTACATTTCTGCACGTGGCAACATTAAAGCTCCAACAACACCCCAATCATTATTAACATACCGGAATTCTAGTTAAGGTTACCTAAACAATAAACAAAGTGGTTCGTTCACTCGACTTTTTCTGAATTTCGAAATGAACACAACAAAGCCTTTGTACCAAAAGGCTTATTTTGGCATTTGCATTTTTAATGAAAGAATATGATAAAAGGCTTACGAAGTTTGTAAACATTTTGAACCGTCATTTTAAATACGTCATAAAAAGGTTACATAAAAATATTTCAGGTATTTCGTGAAGGCATAGTGATATGCTGCAGTATCTGAGATACACTCCTATTCTCACGAAATATTAATGTAACTGTAATGTCTATTAAGTGCTTCATTTTTTTTTATAAAGTTTTTGATGGCTGTTCTTAGTGAAGTTCAATAGTTGTCTACTACTTCATGATCAAACTGTAACTATTACATTTTTTTTCTGTAGCAAGTGGGAAACCTTAAAACCCATAGCAACATATTTGAGCCCATGATAACCACCTGATAAATGAGTTAATTCTTGTCTGCATTTCGGGAAGAATCAAACGCTGAAATCCATTCGCAAAATCAAGAAAAAGTTTGTCAATATTTAAAAATATTGCTTCTTAAAAATTTCATAGTGTGTCTAATAGCATTATTCTTTTCGAGATATTAAGTATAAAATTGACACTGTTTATTAGTTGTTAGTGGATTTAAACTTTGTTTTATAACAATTAATATATATTTATTTACGAAATATTGACAGTTAATACTGGATTTCTTTCAGTTAGAATAGTTAAGGTTTCATATAGACTAATTTGTAAAAGAACTAACTTGTATTTGTCAATAAGTTATCTTTAAACTCAGTTATTAAAAATGTATGCTTATTATACATGATTATGCCCATCAAAATGGGAGAAATTAGTTGAGATTCGAATATAGCCAGCATTAAAGCTGATGCTTCAATTATAATTAAGTTCTTAAAAAAAAAATTTTAGCATATATAAACCTACTTAGGTGAAAAGCAAATACCAGTACTAAATATGTATTAAGCACTTAAATTTTACAATATAGACATTAAATATATTTACGACTTCAATATAAAAAATTTTGGTTGTAAATTTGAAATTAAAAATGCGTACGATTTTTTTATTTGTAAATATTAACAAAACTAAATCCTACTTATATTCTTATTATATTTAATATTTTCTAATATTTTTTTGCAGGTTGGAAAGATTCTATACTTTCCATACCCAAGAAATGGCTTTCCACTGCAGAATCTGTTGACGAGTATGGATTTCCTGACGTAAGTTTAAGAAAAAAAATGTAATTTAATTGATTAAACAAATGTTTTCTTTTAAAATAATTCTAAAACAATCTTTCATGTAATCCTTAAATATAAATAAAACATTTTTAAATTCTTTTAATGAATGAAAAAATTAATTTACTATTATAATTAATTAAAGATTCTATAGAAATGAATAACAAGAACTTTCAAAATGTTGAAATACCTGTATTTTTACGTTCTTCGATCTTAATTCAACTCAATTCATTTTTCCAAACTTTTGCATTTAAAGCAATTTCTATACCCAAACAAATAATCCCCCAGAAATATGCGTACTTCCTTTTACTACCCTTAAAAGCGTTTTCAACATCTTAAGTAAACTTCCATTGATAGCAAACAAAAATAAGTAAAAACTTCGGAAAACAAACAGAAGGAACAGAACTAATCCTGTTTGTTATAATTAGTAATGCAAATAATAAAAGTTTACTTTTTACCTTATCCTGTGAGCATCAGCGCACAATGTAGGATATAAAATGGGGAAGAGCTGTCTTGACTTTATTGAGTTTTTATTGTTTGCATAAAAATGTACAAATGTTTATTACTTAAAAAACAATGGTAAAATAAACAAAGTTATTACATATGCACTAACATGCTTATTCAACAGTAGTCCATATATTTTAGGATTTCATGTAAATTTATTCGAAAAACAAAACAATGAAACTAATGAAATGAAATCTAGGTATATATTATATACAGGCTAGCTGGACTGAAGCACCTTGTAAAGAATCTACTTAAATATATACTCAACATTTTTTAAAATAAAACTAGATTTTAGCTTGTTTTCGTGCAATTTGGATATTAATGAGTGCAAAATCTGGAAGATATTACTATCAAAACTTGTTGAAAATTGAAATATTGGTTGAAAGTTGAATATATTGTAGTTGCAATTGCATTAATAATAAAACTTAATATTCTATAAAGATGTGTTTCGAGCAGTAATGAACTACAACAACAAAAATTCATTTTATATTATTTTAATTAATTGAATTTTTGGCTGACCATACATCTGTTTCGAGTATTTCCAAATATCCATAATCAGTGGTCTTGGAAATAATTCTTGTATTTAATTATTCGTAAATAATTTTTTGAGACTGCAAGTACCAGGGATCGAATTTGTGCCCTGCCAAATTTCAAGCTCAGAGTCAGCGCTCCTAAACCAACTGACTCAAAGCTGTACTTGACTTTTATGTTCGCACATTTTTCTGTAGTTTCAATATTTTGAAATTTATATTAATCGTGTTAATTGTTTTCTTAATTGCGTTTAAAAATACAACAGGGAGCTTTAAATTCAATTACCATAAAAACGTATAGAATAAAAATATATTGTTACACCAAAGGAAAATTAATTAGAGAATTGCAACGCTACAATCAATGCAATTAAATTTTGACTGCAAAAAAAGAATTTTATCTTGCTGAACACAAAGTAGAGGTGCTTTTAATTGGCAATAGAAAAAGGATTGAAAAATTGTCCATTGAATTTTGCTCAATTGAGCACAATTACGCCCACAACTTATATATATCGAAATTATCTTAGGCTAATTCCAATCTTCGACAGTTTCTAATCTATTAATCACGGAGAAGTGTTGTAATGACTGACAACATCGGTGAACGCGTTCACTAATTCCAAGCATAAAAGCATGGATTAATCGAGTAATTGGTGATTTGAGATGTTAATGTCAATGAAATGCAGTTACATTGCTCCAGTTCCTTACAGGGCATGACTGTATTCGTGAAAACTTATACTCATTTACACTTTCAAATAATGTGAACTGTATTCTTTGTTCAGTTATAATTGAAATTTTGATCGTATAATCACATAGTGCATAAGATTCATTGATACCATTCAATATCTATAATTCTAATCGACAAAGCCATAAATCTTCTTTCATGGTGAAGCAGATATCAGTAATCATTGAAGGGTGGAACTTATGGAAGACCATTATCTTTAGTAGAATAAGCACGGCGAAAGCTGTTGAAATCTATAGAATTTAAAGGAAGTACAGCCCGATATTTGTGCTTGTAACCTGCCACTTGAAGTAATACCTTGTCTGCTCGTACTGCAGTTACATACAGATTTCTGTGCTAAATATATGGGTTCATTACTCAAAATTATACATGAATCTAGCATACAAATTCTGCAGGTTTAGTGCGAACAAATTCTGCATTAAAAAATTGTATTGTAATAAAAACAATTAATAAGAATAAGAATTAAAAAGAATATTAAAAACACCACAAACATTTTTTCAAAAAAATTTATAATAACTCCATGTTAAGAGATTTTTACCTTTATTAAATCCAAAATTAAATTCTCTACTTATATATTTCGTATTCAGGAGACAGAGTATAAAACAGTCAATTGCTTAATTTTTTGGTTTTAGATAAAATATGTTTATGGTAGAAGTTTATTTTGCACAAAATCAGACTCTGAGAAGACTTCTCAAGGTAACATGGCACATTAGGACGAATGACACCCTCAGGGACCACAAGATTGATCCCATTAAAAAATAAATAAAGGTTAGAGCCCTGAAATTATTTACTAAAGCTGACAGACTTACCAAAACCGCATTATCGAATCTTAGAACGGTTACAGGCAGATCTGAGGTCAGTTATTGCTTAGTCTGATGAAGTGATAAACAATAATCCAGTCCAGGCGTAGAGGGGGGTTATGAAGAAACTTCGGAGTTAATAGAGAGTAAAAGTGCTCAAGTACACTGAGTCAACTAGCCTCAACATAATAATAATAAAGAATTTAAAGTTATGTTCTCAATAACAAAATTCTAACAAAAGTAAGTTGGACTTACTAAGCGTTTGTTAACTACTTCTGATCTCATATATTTAGGGTTTATTTAATTAATTTGTGTCTTTATTATATATAAATGATATTTAAAAAAAAATCAATAGATTAAATCATAACTTTTCGGTTAGTTACAGTGTATCTAGAAGCTAAACTGTTAAACTTTATTAAAATTTGTTATATGAAAAAAATGTAAATCGAAATTTAGTAAAAAATGCTTTTCATCTGCAAATCACTGTATAAAAATTTGTTCGACAGATGAATTCAATGCAATCGTTTACCTTTTTTCCGAAAACCCCTGGAGACATAACCATTTTATTTTAACTTATCGCCCCAAAAAATGGGAAAACTGACTATGTAGCACTCAGCAAGTGAATGTTGCGTTAGCAATGTATTTTTAGAGTAAAAACCTTTATCAAAGCCTTTGGTGTTTTGTTAACGTCTGATGTAGCCATCAACTCCACCTTTAATGCCAACATTTGAGTTGAATGTCAGCCAAGTTTCTTGCATTCACACAAACAATGCAATTCTAATTCCTTTGCTCATAGGGGAGTAACGAAATGAGTGCCGAACGAAATAAGTTAAATTCAGTTTTGTTTTCGACTGGTTTTTGTTGGTGGACTTGAACAGTTTTAACATGTTTCCAGAATGAGATAATTTTCTATTTTATATGCGAAATAAATGCGTTACAACTTCGTGAAATTACAGTTCAGCAACAACAAATCTAACCGCCCTCCATGTCAAGTACAAACTTTTTTACTTTTTTCACTTTTCTTAACTGTACGCGTCCTCGGGGAATTTGACTCCGTTTTCCCAACGAGGGTAAAGCTGTGTACTTTTTCGATTTGTATTTGGAATGAAATTACGTGATGCATACAAATGACAATTTCTCTTTTTATATTAAAGTTTTCAAAGTCAATTTTCATTAAACCAAAAATAATATATTGTCGAAAAGATATTTGAAATATTTACGACTTCATGTACTTACCAAATGGAGTTAACACTTTGCTTGAAAGCTTATTTATACGAGTTATTGCAAAAGATTTTATTTTAAAAACCTTCAATTTTAAAGTGTCAAAAACAACTAAAAAATAATTGCAGAAACTTTATTTCCAACAGTTTTTATTGTAAAAAAACACTGTTTACATAAACGTGCTTACATACACTATACGAGTATTAAACTCATTCTTATTTAAACTTAACAGACACTACCGAAGGTACCAGTCCCACCGTTAGAACAAACCATGGCTGATTACGTGCGTGCCTTGGAACCTATTACCACACCATCACAATTGGAACGTACGAAAGGAATTATTAGGCAATTCAGTTCAGCAAATGGTTTGGGGCCAAAACTACATCAATATCTGCTTGACAAACGTGAAGCGGAAGACAATTGGGTAAGTGAAAAGAAAATTAAATAAAAAATATATATAGAAAATATATTTTTCTACTTTTGTGTTTAAACTTAGAGAACAGAAAAATTAAATTAAATTTATTTGATATAGTTAATCTGATTTACTTAAGAATATTGATATTATATGTATTAATAATAATTCTTGTATTATTATATAAAATAATTATATTATTTGTTATTATTATTTAATTATCATATTTAATAAAAGTTAGGTGTATGGTACCTAAATTACCATATAAAGTTATTTCCTTTTCAATCATTTTTATTCGAATTAACAGCTTTAGTTATTAACCAAGGTCAATCTTCATTAGGTATTATTAGCATTTATACAGATTTACTCAAATATAGAAATGATAACTTATTATAGCTTATGCGTCAAAGTTCACCTAAACGGAAGTAAAGGCATTTTTGGTGCCATGTATATCACAAAAACACACTGCCCGTACATTTCCTAAAAGGTAGAAGTACGAGAAATTCAATACCCTTAAAAAAATATGCTCTAACCACATACTAGTTAAATTGACCTAATCATTTTGTTAAAAAAATTTTAGGTCATGTGGTAAAGATGATATAAAACAATATATAAATATATTGCCCTGAGATTTAGTTAAAATCTGGTTAAATTAACCAAATTATTTTTCTGAATGTATGAACAGTCATTGCTATAAACTTGATTAAGTTCCTTATTTTAAAGGATAATAGCTGTATCGCGTTAATTAAAAAAAGGAATACAAAGACTTTAAATCTGATCCTCGATAGGTACTGACATATGTGGTGAAGTATATCTGCAGAAACACAGACTCAAAAAAGTGATAGTGCTATATAAATCTAGTAGTAATACAAGTTTGAAAATGTTATTAAATTCTAAATGTCTAAGCGGATCGCACTGCTTTTTGTCATAACTTAATATATGTAGTATTATTAATGTTCAAGTAGCAAGATAAAAAAAAACTGTACTCTTATTTTAACACCAAAAATTTAATTTATAGAATTATTTAATGTAATAAATAAATGTTAACAGAATAAGGTTCCAACATACATATTTACACAACCATTAATTAGTCCGTAGACTAAAGTTTTACAATACAATATAATAGTTTTGACAACAATTTCCCAACACCAGAATCAGCGTAACAATTATATCCTGAATATTTTTATCATTTTTTTTTTATCGATCCATCCTCCTATTCCTTTTCTAACCAACAGATGGTGGTGCTACTGAGATGCTAGGGGGAGTCGGCTCAGGTGTGGGAGGCATAGGTACATCTGTATTGGAAGTAGCTGGTGATGGTGGTCCCGGGAATGTAGTATCAGCTGAAGTTGAAATTGTGAATGTAGTAGGAATTGGAGTTGTAACTGTTGTTGGAGCTGCAGTTGAAGCTGCAGTTGAAGCTGCAGTTGAAGCTGAGGAAAATGGAAGTTCTGTTATTATAGGAGATTTTGTAGTTGTTCCTAGAGTCGATATTGTTGATAAATATTCACAATCTGGAGTATGTTGAGTTGGTAGCTTTTCACATGGTGGTGGAGGTATATAACTGTCGCAGCTTGTGCATTCTTGTAATACATATGTAAAAACTTGATTGCTTGCACAATTTTTTAAAGCTGGATTATTTACACCATTACAAATATAATAGCTATATTGATTTTGATAATTTGGCCATTTAACATAAACATCGTTAGGATCGCAAGTTGGTACCAAATATGTTGAAAATTGTTTCACTGTACATTGACAATTTACGTACTGGAATAAGGCGATGACACAAACAACAACAAGAACTATAATTAAAAAAAAGTATTTATAATATTAAAATTTTTAAAATAAAATTTTTAATGCTTCAAGTATTGAAACATATTTATAAACGTGGAGTAGATCGGGCAAATAGCTCAGCTGTCAAAAAAAGTCTATAAATCTATTTATAAAACAAAAATTTTTCGAAATATTTTGTATTAAGCGAATATATTTTTTAACATTATATTGTGTAGTCTACTGGGATATACAATGTATGACGTCATTTCTACTGACTGAGATAGCTTAAGTTAAACTATTAATATATACATATGTATATATATATACGGATTTTGGTATATTTTATATTATATAAAAAAAATTAATACCCTAATTAAAATCAATGTTGTTTTATTAAAATTATTATTCGAAACAATAAAAATTTGTTTTTGAAATATTATATTTTATTATAAAATCTTAACGTTTTGAAGTGTACACTGTAATCACAACAAAATTTTTAAGAATTTTAAATAACGAAATGCATAGAAGCATTGATAGGAAAGCATTAATATGTCTGTGCTATTTAGTTGTAATAATATTTATAAATTTTTCACTTTTTTATTTTGTTTTGCTTAATTTAAGGAGGAAATTTTTGAATTCGGTTAATTTTGAAAGAGATTAATGGAATACTTTTATATTAACTGCAGTCTACCAGTATTAAAGGTTTTATTTCTGCATGTAACGGTTTTAGTTTTCGATTGGTTTAAGGACTGGGTACATAAGGTGGTTCAACTGAAACACTTGGTGGAGTTGGTTCTGGTGTTGGCGGCATAGGTACATTTGTAGCTGTGTCAGCAGGTGAAGGAGGAGGTGGTATTAACGTTGTGCCTGATGTCACAGTTGTTGCATCAGTGGGTGGGGTTGGTACAGAAGGTGTTGTTGTCGCAGGTGCTTTCGTAGTGGTTGGAGCTTTAGTTGTTGTTGCCTTTGTGGTAACTGTAGTTTCTTCCGGTTGAATTGGTGTTGGATAACCAGTAGCAGGTGATGGCGTTGATGTGCCACCCGAACCTATTGCTGCACAATTTGGTGTCTTTTGGGTTTTTAATTCATCACATGGTACGGGTGGAATATAATCCGAACAAGCAGTACATTGTTGAAGGACATATGTGAAAACTTTTCCACTTGCGCAATTTACAAGTACTGGATTGCCAATGCCCTTACATTGATAGTAGGTATATTGATCTTCATAATTTGGCCATTTAACATAAACGTCATTGGCGTCACAAGCTGGGTTTAATGTGGTACTAAACTCTTTAACAGAGCACTGTGCGTTGGTATAATGAGTTATAAGCAAAATGCCGACAAGCGTAAGTACTAAAAACAAAGAAATATTGATATTTATTGTTGTAAATAAAATTATATGTATGTATTGCAACTATTTTGCATCGCATTATATCACTATAAGACTTTAAAAATTTGAAATAAAATATTTCCAAATAAAAATTTATGAGTAATATAATATACCGCATATTTAAGGAAATATAATTACTTTTACTTGATAAATAAGTAATTTATTAATTTCACATCAATTATTTTCGTATTTGATCTAAATATCATAAATAAAATTATATATAAAAAAGTCTTGGTTTGTATCTTCGTTTCATATATATATTATTAATAACGATTCTTAGAAAGTATTTATTGTAAATAACACTATATGTTATAAGTTTATAATTAAATTTTTAATATATAAAAATAATGCGAAATAAATTTATTTATAAATTTAAATGGTTTTATTGTAAAATTGTTCTAACTCTAATTAAATTAGATGCATTCATCTACAATAGGGCTTTTGAACCCCCTTGGGTTGCGAAAACTAATTATAGAATAGTTAATTATAATAATGTAAATTAAGAAAAAAAAATCAAAATTTAAAAACTTAATATAAATAAATTAAATATTATATTGACTACTGAATATACTAATATATTCATAATGTAAAAATTCCCTGAATAAATATAAAAAAATCTGATATATTTAATTATTTCATAAAAGAACAGTATTTAATGTAACTAATATAATAAAAAACAAAACGATACAGTAAAAGCTCTTTTAAGCGTTTTTATTTGATGAAGAAAAATGTGGTATCCATTTACAAGAGCCTCTTTTAAATCGAGGTTTTACTGTATATGTGATATATCAATAAATACAACAAAAAGTTGTTAAAATTATTAGTTATTAATCATTAAATACTAATTATTAAATAAATTATTTGTATATTAGTCACTTCTTTAATTATTATATTTTAAAAATAAAGTGTAGAGCTACACTTTCCATATTTTTATAAATTTTTAAAATTAATTTATCTATTAAATAAGTTGTTAATTCAAATCAGTAAAAATACACTGTAATGTTATGTTTTTTATACTTATATACAATGGTATGTATAAATTTTGTATTTTCAATTATATTTGCACAATATACAAGGCATAATTTAAATTTTGAACAGATTTTCATCTCCACTATTATTAATATCCTTATAGTCCTTGATATGCACATTGCCCGATTTTTCACTCTCACATTTGTCAATAAAATATGTATTCCGAAATTTATGTACTTTTGGTTCAATATGTATCCAAATTTTATTACCTGATTTCATTTTGGTGTCGTTCACTTAACGCTTTACAAAATAAACTGCTTCAATTTCGAAATACCATCCGTTTTTATGGAACTTCATTCATAACTTGTAATTGATTTTCTTCGATCATTTTTAATCAAGTTTTTTAGATTAATGCGTGTAAAAAACAGAAAAAAAAACCGCAAATGAAATGACACCTCTCGCAAAATACCAATTTTGCTTAATCTATAACCGCCTTGTGGACATTCAAAGCATTGCTTCCAGATATGACAAAAGTACAAAATTCTTGATTGAATTATCTAAAAGTAATTTGTCATGGTTCATGAAATTTTTTATTGTTCTCGGCTTGTATCGAAAAGTCATATTCTTAAAGGTTTTTGCTTTATGTTACTACTTGAAAGTCGCTAAGATAAGCGAATTATTAAGAATTACAAATATTAAGTATGTATGTATGTATGTACTACACGTTATGTAGTACAAAATAATTACTAATTTGGATAAGATTTTAACAAAAATCGAAAAATTATCTTTTATAATTAGTTTTTTATTGCTCGCAATATATATGTTTTAGATACTTCCTACAAAGTATATTTCCGGTCGGGTTAATATTATAAAGTTAATTCGATGAAAATGACGATGAATTTATATTAAATACAATATATGATCAGATTATATACGAGATAGTATGATAATAATTATGATCTTTTCCAAAAGAAATGAAGATTACTTACCGCTTAACAATGTTGGTCTGTTCTAAGATTATTAGTGCAAGATTTCTTATCCCTATAATGTCCCTATACTGGTTTGAAAGAAGTAAGCTGTGTATGCATTTGCTACTTAAAATTCTGATTACCAATGTTCAGAAAAGAAAGGAAGTCATGGAAAGAAACTGCATAGATGGATGCATATCAATTAAGTGGCATAAATAGAAGAAAATCAAATAGTAGGTGAAATTGCAAAAAGTATTGTTCCACAGACACTTAAATAAGAAAATAATACACAAAAACTTCATTAAAATCAACACATAAAAATTTATAAAAATATAAAAAGGATCAGATAAAATCTGATCAAACATATTAATCTACTATAAAACTGTTGGACTGAACACAGTCTTACATTAAGCTTCAGGAATTTAAGAGATATCCCAAAAGAAAATAGTGGATATCTTATAGATGAGTACTATAGATCTACAATACATAGAGGTCTTACACAATACATAAAGGTATCACTTTGGAGCAGGATTATATTATATGATCTATAACATATCTATATAACTGAAATTAAGTATAAAACAAATACTGATACATTGATGTACCTAATATAAAAATTATTTTTTAATAAGTCTTTATTTGATTATTATAAAAGATAAGCTAAAAGTGCATGTCTTATGAAAAACATCTTTAAATAAAATCCCAAACAATTGTGATTTATTATTAGTTTTGATATTCTATTGTCATTTCAATTTGCTGGGTATTCTATTGTAAATTACCATACAATCTATTATTCTGATGAATTTAAACATCTATCATTTATCGTTTAATGTGGAGATTTAATATAATAATTTTGTCTTAAATAATTTTGTCTTTAAAGAAAGATTTTTTAACAATTAAATAAACATTTTAAAATAATCTTTCTTAAAATCATTTTCTGAACTTATTTTCGGTAATATAAAATATTTCAGATAAAAAAAAACGGCAACTTATCTATTATCCACATATATTAGTAGATTTAGAAAATACATTATAAGTCAACTAACATTTAATGAACTTTATAACAAATCAATATTTTAAGTGAACTATATATATTTATTATGTATCAAATGTATCTAAACAAATTCATAGAATTATTGTAAATAATTTCACTTAGTTGTTGAGATAATAATTGACCGCACGTTTACCAGTTCTTTAATTAATCATTAAATTAGTCATAACTTTGTTTATCTTTCTATTAGTTTTGTTTCAGTTAAAAGTTCAATTTAATTTTATTAGCGTAGCAATATATTTTTAATAGTATGCAAAATATAAGTAGCTAGCTATCTGAATATGTGACACATTAAATGAGCAATTGATAGACTTGGCATTGAATCTATTTCAAAAAAATTGTATTTGGAGTGAATGAATGAAAAAACTTTTAACTTTTATTTAGAGATATATTAAAAAATATATTAAAACATATATTAAATAATTACTTTTATTATTATAATTATTGAAGAAGAAGGAATACTGCACTACGACCTAAAAGAGCTATTGTGCCTCTTAGTCGGAATAAAGTTTCTCTAATGTTTCTCTAAGTCCGATTTCTTTAATGAAAGTCAGTATAGAGCATAACTTTGCTCGTCTTGGATCCTTATGATCTATAAAATACCCTCCTAGGTATTTCTTCCGCTTGTGCATCAGTGCCGGGCACTCCCCAAGCACATGATTAGCAGTTTCTCTCTTTTCTCTACAGTATCTGCAGTCTGAGTAGCATTGAATTCTTAACTTCGTTAGGTGATTATTCAATCTACAGGTGACCGGTCAATCTAATCAATTTTATTGGCCGATTATGCAGTAAACAGTTGCATGGTATTATTAAGTGTCGTTCATCATTGCTTTTTTAAAATATTCAGTGGCCTGTCCAAACATAATATTTGAACAGCAAGTTTCAGGTATAAAACTTGACATACAGTTTTAATCACACTATTGATTATAAAATTTACACAAAAAGATCATTGCAAATGTTTAATTTTACATATAAGATAATTTTGGAATTTATAAATAAAAGAGAATGTATCTTCCTTCAAGTGTTCGTAGTAAATATTGAAAATTGAAATTTTGTAACATATAGTAAGATATGGTAAGACTAAAATAGTAGAGTTACAAACTGGTTTTTAAGCATGTGGTGAGAATCAACAAAGTAGGCTAAAATTGTCAGATTCTCTGATATTTAAAAATATTTTATTTAAAAATATTTATTCAGATTTTTTCAGTCAGTTGATCAGTCAGTCAATTAGTTAGTGTTTCTAAAGTTGTATTAAAAATAATAAAAGTTTGTGTTACAATAAATACTGTTTTTTATTAATAAAAGCTATTTGGTTATTGTAATCACAACATTGGTGACCCCGACACAAAAAGGAGTTGTAAGTTATTATCAAGCCCAACATTAGCAAGCAAGATGACTAACCGTGAGGAAGAAGATTTTTTTCCGGCAGAAGGAGAAAGTCGCACTGACAAGGAGGTATACCGGGTTTCAGTTAAGCCGATGATGTTTTCAAGAGAGCATCCGGACCTTTTTTTTCTGCAAATGGAAGCACAGTTCAGGAATGCGGGAATAACGAAAGATGATACAATGTTCGACCATGTAGTAGCAGGTTTAGAGCCGAAATACCTGGAGTGCATAGTTGATGTGATTCGAGATCCACCGAAGGTGTTGAAATATGAGACGTTGAAGAAACGGTTAATATATGAATTCACAGAATCGGAGCACAAAAGGCTGCGTAAGTTGCTGACAGAATTGGAGCTAGGTGACATGAAACCAACTCAATTGCTGAAGAAAATGAAGGAGATGGCCGGCAATTCAATGAATGATGATGTACTAAAGTCATTGTGGTTACAGCGACTGCCGGTGGGAGTTAGAACAATCGTAGCTGCAGTGGAAGGTGATTCTGCACAGTGGGCCAAAGTGGCTGATAAGGTATTTGAGGTACAGGAAACAGAAACGGTTTGTGTAGTTCAAAGGAATGAACCGAAGGAGATGAGGAAGGAAATTGACGAGTTGAAAGTCATGATAAATAATTTGGTCATTCAGTTGGACAAAAGAGGAAGAAGCAATGACAGAGATCGTGGAAAAGGGCGATCATCAAGTGCTAGAAGAGGTAATATCTGTTTTTATCATCGGCGGTTCAAGGAGAGGTCCACAAAATGTGTTCAGCCTTGCCAGTACAAACCACCGCAAAACTCAGCGGAAAACTAAACACCACTTCACGTCTGACGGCGAGTGAAGTGGCAGAGGGTAAAGCATGCCGTTTGTTCTTCAAAGATAAAAAAACAGGTATAAATTATCTAATAGACACAGGCGCGGAAGTTTCAATTTTGCCAAAGAGAATGCAGCCTGAAAATGAAGCCACGCAATATTATTTATACGCAGCAAACGGAGCGAAAATTAGCACGTATGGAACGAAATTAGTGCAAGTCAATTTGGGGTTGCGCAGACAGTTCCTGTGGGAGTTCTTAGTGGCGAAGGTAAATCACCCAATAATAGGGGCGGATTTTTTGAATAATTTTGGTTTGATAGTTGACCTGAAGAACA